GACATTTTTGTAGCCATTAGATCATCCAATCTAATGGATATAATTTATTCTCATTTCTTTCATGGAGAACCATTCTCATGTGAACCCAACCCTATATATATATATATATAGGGTTGGGTTCACATGAGAATGATGCTTAGTGAAAGAAATAAGAATAAATCATGACCATTAGATCGAATGATCTAATGGCTATTAAAAACTCAAATTTATACCTTCATTAAGGGCATTTTAGATATTTTTCACGTGTATTTTGCACCCCACCAGACACAAACTACCAGCATGTGAACTCACACATCATTGATGTGGTCCCCACGTACAACCCACCACCAATTATTTGCACACATTAAACACGCACACACACCAAAAACACACTTTCACACACACCGAAACACACACAAGCCCACACACACACCCACCGATTGACGCACTCAGATCCGCCGTGGTCATCGATTTTTCTTCCACCTTGCCTTCCTCGAGTCTCTTTTTCGTGGTGACCGTCGCCGGTTTTTAGAGGACTCTTCTACCACACGCCCTGCCGGTTTCGCGCCTCACTACGGTGGTTCTTCAACTTTGCCGGCGAATGAGACAACATGGGCAGAGCTTCGATTTCAGCCACTATCTGTCGCTCGAGCCGTCGTTCGAATAGAGAGACCATCCACCCGCTGTGTGTCGCCATTGTACACCTCCAGCAGGTGCGTGTCGCCGTTGAACACCTCCGACCGCCGCCGTGAAATTGTCGTGATTCTCGCGGCTGGCGCCGTCCAACGTCTCCGATCGCTCAAGACACACACTCGCCGACGTGATAGATGTCGTTTCTGACGAACTGAAAATCTGAATTTCATATTTGAAATTGGACATATGGTTTGAGAATTTGATTATGTACAAGGACCTATTTGCAATTTTATATTTTTTATTATATTTCAATTTAATCTATGGGTTAAATATGTAATTATTGAAAGTTAATATAAAATTATTTTTTTATATATTTTAATATACACATATACTAAATAAAAAATAAATTATTAAATAAAAATAATATAGAATATTAAAATAATTTAAAATAACTTATAACAATAAAATAAATTATACAATAGAAATAATAAATATATATTTTAATTATTTATGTTAATTTGATTTACAATTATATTTATTAAAAATAGTTATTGAATACACATAATTTATAATGGAAATAATAGATTAGCACACTTTATATATTGAAATGTTGCACTTTGTAGAACAACACGTCGCACTGTAGAAAACAACACGTTGCACTTTATCATTACACTCTACAATTGTAATAATGTAAAATATTAAAATAATATTAATTTTTTTATATAATATTAAGTAAATTATATAATTAAAATAATAAATAAAAGTATATTTTAATTATTTAAGTTAATTCGGGGTACAATTATATCTATTAAATGGTTTTCGAATACACATAATTTATATATGAGGATATAAATTAGTGCACGTTATATAGCGACAATATTGCACTTTATAAAACAATACGCTGCACTTTATAAAGTAACGTTGCACTTTACATACGCAATCCGCAATTAATGTCAAACGTCCAAAAAATCGGATCTATATAATTGCACTTTATATATCAATACGTTGCACTATATATAGTGTAATGTTGCACTTTATAATACGACATATTACACTATAAAAACAACATGCTACGCGTACCAAAAAATTCGGTAATTCTGCTAATCGATGGAATAATATTAGTTGGGTAAATATCGGATTTAGTCTTTTTAAATAAATAAAATAACATAAGTGTCTAACTATGTGAAAAATATTATTAATTATTTTTCAATTATATTTTTTAATAAGAAAATAATAATAATTTTATATACATTTTTTTATGCATTGCGAGTGAACATCATGGCTATACTAATTGCACGTAAACGTCTACCAGATTGCACCAAATCGAACGAGATCCAACAAACATAAAGTCGATACGAAATTTTATATATTGGTTCGATTATTATTATTATTTTTTTATAAATCAAATAGTTCGGTACGATATCATTTTTTTTTTGTTCGATTATCTATTTTAATATCATTTTTTATGCATTATTGTGTATGTTTTAAACTTTTATTATATTGTCAATTTGCCTAATTGTACTTAATTGAAATATACAACATAAAATTAAGAAATTGCAATTAAACCCCACTAGTAAATCAAATTCTCACTACACGACCCCAATACTCAAACAAACACATGATGTAACAGATACCATATCCGGCAAAAAACGCAGTGGCCATTGACAGTCAACGGTGGCCGGTTATTCGCCACCAACATTCATCGGCGATTTTTCGGCAAGCGGTCAAGACGACGGAGGAGTTTCACGACATTGAAGCGGCCGACGACCGCGGCATTGGCGGAGGCGGCATGAGCGGGCGACAATGACTGGAAACGGAGGCGGCATGAGTGGGCGACAATGACAGACGGATGGCGATTGGCGACGGCGGCGGGTGGCGGGATATGGCGATGGTGGAGAGGCGCTCGGTGAGGTCGGAGACAACTGGCGGTGGCGGGATCTGGCGATGGTAGGGCGGCACTAGGTGAGGTCGGAGTCGGCGGACGGTGGCTGTAGGATGGAGTGCCGCCGTGTGTGTGTGTGTGTGTGTGTGTGTGTGTGTGTGTGTGTGTGTGGAAATCTGAAATCGTGCTGTGATGAAGAAAGAGAGATTGTGGTGGTGATGAAAGAGTAATATTTTATTAATTGATATGTGGGTCCCATATAATGTATATTGACCAAATTACCCTTAATTATTAGTCAAATGACATATTTGACCACAATATGATCAATTAATTACCAGGTTGCCATTAATGATTGACCATTGTTTGACTTCATCATGTCCATAGATAACATTGATCCAATGGTGCAGATTCATTCTTACTTCTTTCACCAATGTTTATTCTCATATGATCCTTTACCTATATATATATATATATATATATATATATATCAACAAATAATAAATAAATGTAAAGATTATTAATTTCAAAAATAAAGTATTATGTAAGACTAATCCTAATGTAAGTTGAAGTGCTACACAATGAGCTCTAAAACCTTTTATGTTTCCAACAAAAAGATGCCCTCTTTTCGCGCAATTGGTCTGCATATTGGTACGTATAATTACAATCACCTTAAAATCAAATATAATATAATATAATCTAAAGCAAAATGAACCCTGATATGATCCCTATAAGCCATCACCAGGAATCATGATATACCTATAAGGTATCACCATGAATCATGATATAAAGGGCCCCCAATAAAGGGGGAAAAAAAAAATGCTCTAATTTAATTTCAAAATTTTATTTACAAAGAAGCAAACCAAATTCAAAATGTTTAACCAGAAAATAAATAAAACCTAAAACATAATGATTGGAAACAAGAAGGGATATCACAAAATATCACATTGAACTTCAATCTATCCATCTGTCTAGACATGGGCCGGACAGGGCCGGGACCACGGACCGGCCCTTGGTTTTTGGCAGGCCGGTTAGGGGTCACCCATGGAAGGCCCGTCGGCCAAGCGGGCCCTGCCCGTTGACTGGCCATGTCTATATGTGCCCATTAATAATAGAAACTCCACCCAGAATTGATGCATACAAATACAATTTTACTCATACTGCCAGGTACATTGACTGATTGCTTTCTACATCCAAATAGTACTTTTCTTTAGTGAAAAGAAGACATTTACAGTACTATCACATTGAAGATGTCCAATTCATCAGTATTCAATACTGTCAGCATATGATATATGCTGAAATAATAATTTACCTGCACCTCTCAACTATATTCATCAACTAACTTCAGCATATAAATTGATCTGATCTGTAAAGTCAATTTCTCTGCCCCTCTCAACTATATTCATCAACTAACTTCTGCATATAAATTGATCTGATCTGTAAAGTCAAATTTTCTGCCCCTCTCAACTATATTCATCAACTAACTCTAATCATATGAGTTGATCTGACATGTAAAGTCTTCATATAACCGACACCGAGAGCAAACGCACAAAATATATACTTAACGTCTACACGAATTCAGCTCTAAGGTTGTCTAATAGTTGTACTATGAATGTCATACTTTTATTGATGTTCTTTTTTAAAGTATGACACCAGAGTATGGAAGTATGTAAATAGTTGAAAATGTATGGTTGTCTAACCATTAAGCATTAAGTAGTCTAATATCAGCAGTATCGGATCATCTAAAGCCAGAAGATACAATTTTTTGCAAACACAAAAAAGAAGCAACAATCCTAGTATTAAGTGCAGAAACATGTGAACCAAAATTGAGTGTACTTGAACAGAGATTACATAATATCACTATTGTCTCAACAAACAAATCACAAAAGAAAGGAGCACAAAACTGAACCCAGCAATCAAATCTTCTCCTCAATCCAACAAAATCCCAGCACATATATAAATAAATGCAGCACAAACACAACCCAAAAACATCACCTTTTGGCAGCAATCCTCAGCATTGGAGAAATTATGCCCTGTAATTCCAGCAAAGACTGTTGTACCCTAATCTCCTCCTCAACATCTCTCTTCAGATTCCTAATACAATTCATCAACTCATCTGAAGACCTAATATCCTCCGCCCGCGACTCAACAACTTTATTCGCCAACTTTGTTAAAAAGCCCGAATACCTCGGCATTGTCGAGTACTTCTGTAAGAAACCCAACAATAATCCAAGCTCGTCCGAGTCCACATTAGACACGCATTTCAGCAACTTTTTACGTGCCACCAACTCCTCCATTACAGCCACCACATTCTCGGGATTCCTTTTACCTAAAGCCGCCACAAGTGCCTCCTTATGCCTGAATTTCTTCAGCAACTTGTCGTGTTCGGCAAATTTCACTTTCTTGGGCCTTTTAATCAGGTAATCCGCCTCAGAAGGCTTCAGGTTCTGGCCCCTGTTGAAGTACCTAAAATGCGATGGCCTCAAGAACTTCCTCTTAGCCTTACCGTCATTATCTGCTATGCCTTTCCAAACCATACGGCTATTTAGGTCCTCGGAGGCCCCCATTTTCATTTTTTTTCTCCCGATGTATAGATTACCCTTGGAAGTCCCCACCACACGGGTCGAGCAGTCGGGTGAGAATCCCACGGACAGGAGAGGCTCAGGAAATCTCATGGTGTGAGTTATCTTGAACTTTGAATAGTCAAATGTTTTCAAGTAGCCGTCTAAGGAGACACTCAGGATTCTATGCTGTCCGTCCTCATTTTCACCTGTTTTAGCGAATTTACCAAGGCAAAGTGAAGTCACGGTCTTGTTATGGCTCTCCATTGAATAGAGCAGCTTCCCACCGCCAATCACGTCCCATATCTTCATGAAATTGCCACCGGCAGTGGCAATCAGGCTGCCGGACGGCAGATAAATCACGCTCTCGACAGGCTTTCCGTGGTCGAGCTCCATAACCGAGCCTGTATTGCCGCCTGGCCCAGACCTGACGTCCCAGAGCTTGATTCTGTGGTCATATGAGCCGGAGACGAACAGACTGTCATTTTCCGGCGATGTATCCCCACACCGGACGTAGTCCTTGTGGCCTAAGAGATCGACCTGGCATCTCTCGGCAGTGACATCCCAGTACTTGACGACGGAGTCATCCCCGCCAGAGAAGAGGTGAGTCTTGTCGGCGGCGCGGGGGTAACGGACGAGCCGAGCGGCGGCGGAGTGACCTTTCAGGCGCCGGAGGTGGCCACGGGACCTGGCGTCGATCACGTGGACGGTGCCTGTCAGGTCTCCGGCGGCGAGAAGCTTGCCGTCTCGGCGGAAGGAGACGGATGCTACGGTGTCGGAAAAGTTGGATATCGTGGATCTGCGGTCGAGGGTCTGGCCGGAGAAGATGGAGACAGAGGCGGAATGGGCGGCGGCGAAGTCGTGGGGGGCGACCGGGGAGAAGGAGATGGAATTGATGGGGTAGACGAAGGACTTTGCAGGGGTTGTTTCGATGTCTTTGGGGATTTTAAAGGATCTCCAATACTTGGATTCAGGGGTGAGCGTGGCTTTGCTGGAGGTGGGCCGGAGTTTGGGTTTGACGGGGAAAGTTTCCGCCATTGATGGGGAATTGGGGACAGGGAAGCTTGGTTGGGGGCTAGGGTTTTTAGGGTTTTGGAGAAAATGGATTGCTCAAAGACACAGTTTAGCCTTGCCCGAGTCAACATATTAGAGGAGTACTTAGGGGCAAAATATACAAACTACCACACTACATGGGCTTCTCATTAGCAATTAGTTCGCTTCGCACCCCAATGATATTCACGAAATAACAATTTTGAGGTGAGAATTTTATAAACTCGAGGGGTGTATTTCTTTAGATTTCTAAATACTTTTTATAATACTAAAATTACTTTTTATAATTAAAAATTTTAGTATATTTAATTTAGATTTTTTATGATTTTTAAGAATTTTCGAGATATTCATTTGAATTTTTAAAAAATTTTAAAAAATCATGAGGTACTTAAAAAGAGTATTTGTTTGCATTTCGAGTGACATTTTGAGACCTTTTGATATTTGTATTTTTATAAAATTTTTGATTTAGGAAAAATTTGTGAAATCATAAGTCTAGATGTGGAATTTAGAGTGAGATTTCATATTTATTATTTTCTTTAGAAATCCCAATAAACCTTCAAAAATCTTAACAAATATGTTGACATCCGAACTGGCAAGTGTAATTTCTATGTGACACGTAGCACAATCTACATTTAACCAACCTCACTGAGAGAACTCCGAACAAGCCATTCTGCTCGACATAAAAGGGAGCCACCTATACAACACTTAAGAGAATCGAGCTCAGAGGTCAACCTATATCCTTCAAACACCCATCTCGGCCAACGCATTAATGATTGACAGGACGCATGTCCATTGTACTGCCGAGATGTGATCATTAAGAGTGGCTCCCTCCCTGCCGAGATGTGATCATTAATGCTACAGTACAAACATTGTAAACAATGCTCGTGAATTTTGCACTATAAATATCCCGCCATTTATTGTAATAAAGGAGATGAAATTGTTCTCTTTCTAAAAACATCTGACAGAAGCACCGCATCCGAGCTGATTTATAATAATACAAAAACAGTCATCCGACCTCATCCAATCAATTTATTTCATTTTTTACTTAGAAAAATTTCTCCTGCATTTGACTCAACTTTCATAGGTCAACTGATTGGCGCTACAGGAAAGGCTCCACTAGTTGTTTGGAGTAGTCTCGACCAACATTTACATAAAAAATGCTAGAAAAATATCTTCAAGCTAAGAAGATCATGAACTACCTAAGGCCGAAAAGAATCATGAGGTGGCCCCAAACATCGACATCGTATCATTATTTCAAAACCCAGATTTTATAACGGGTTTTTTGAATCTCTTGGCACAAATGCTTCCCTCACCTTCGACTGCCACAAAAACACCAGCCAAAAAAAGGACGTGATCTCGGCCCAACACAAAGGCGATGAGTCGGTTCAATCATATGAGACTTCACAGTCTCAAAGTCGCCAAAGGACTACTTAAGACCAAACTCCGATTGGGTACACACAGAGGAGCGGGGGTGGATCTAGAAAATTTGTTGAGTGTGGGCAAAATTTATTAAGGAGTTAACAAGATTTCAAATGAAAATATTATTTTGACCATTTGTCTTTTTCATATTTGAATCATGTTTATTTCAAAACAATATTTATTGGTTGTTGAAAAACAATTGTCCTCCAAAATATTTTATTTCTAAAATCATCAAAACTTTAAATATTTTGATATATTGACTTGTATTTCAAGATAACCTTGATAATAATTTTTGATAGGCAATTTAGGTAAAAAAAAAAAAGTAATAATTATGTTTCTAGATATAAAAAATAACCAGTAAGTGGGAATACCATATTAATTTTTAAAATGAATTATAAAATAATTATAATCTCTCTATTATATAAATGCAAAGATTTCTCAATTGACATGTTAACTTCTGGTGCTTAGTAATTTTATGTGTCGAATTTTTCTAATTCATAATCATATGCGTAAAATTCTAGTATTTCGGAATAGTCCATGTAGATTGAACATTTATTCATGCCTATAAAAATATTTTAAAATATAAAACACTTGAGCAACTTAAATTATAAATATATTTTAAAATTAAGTTGCCTTTTTATTTGTTATCAATTTTTATATATCAAATTAATTATCTTTTGATTATCTTTGATTTGATATAAATATCACATATATAAAACTAATTTTTAGTTAAATTTATACATCAACTCTATTATGAAATATGAGTTAGCAAATTATTATGAATATGATGGGAAAATCGTATAAATAATGTTTCATCTTAAGTATAAATAAAAAATATTTTTTTTTTGAAAAAGTATACACAAATTTGAATAATTTTTTTTTTTTAAGTGAAAAACTGAATACATATAATTTTATTTAGGTATATACAAATTTGAATAAATACTTCTATAACTTAATTTTTTAAGTATAAAATTTTAGTTAACACCTGTGTAATATAATTTTTAAATGTTATAGCACTACTGCTAGATAATTTTGTTGAGTTAAAAAGACTAAGACAATAAAAATTACATGTAAAATAAATAATAGAATAACCTGGAAAAAGAAAGAAAGAAAAAATGGATGGACATGCATTGTTAAAATGGTAAATAAGGATCATGAAAAAAATGATGTTTGTTACAAATACAACTACGTCCACTTGAGTAAATTATGTAGCAAAGCCATCTCTACATGTAAACATCATTTCCTCATATAAACAGTATTTTATCCTAAAAATTGAGTGTGGGCCTAGGCCCACACTAGCTCTCATTTGCTTCCGCCCATGTTGAGGAGACGAGGGAAAGCCAATCGGAGTCTACTTGGGACATCAAGTCCACATCTCCCTCAATATTTCAACAGCTAGAGAAGCCGAAGGCCAAACCCGACCTAAGAGAATAGCTCCTAAGGATCATAATGACAAGGCACGCTACTATCGAAGTCACAACCCTGATATGTAGATTAATAAATAAATACTTTGTTTACAAGTAATTTCTTAATTTGTACATAATAGGGTTATTGTAAAAACTTAGGTTGTGCCTATATATTGTGAATACAACAACAGTCTTACATAGGACAGTTGCGGAAAATAGCATATACCACTCTCAAAACATTATTTTTTCATTTCCTACATATTTAGTTTTTAGCTTTCCTTTGCTTCATTGATTTAAACCACTTGGTTAAGGCTGTCATTGCAACTTTACTTATAACACTCTCAAAACATTCTTTTATCATCAAAAGTGCCCGGGTAGCCACAAGTAGTAGTCTGCACTCGAGTTCTAGTTATGCCAACCTCCAAATATTTTTGGGCTGCTAGCGCCATTGTGTGAAAGAACACTTTTGAGTTCTTGAAGCTATTGATAAGTATATGCATGTATTTCTCCAAGAATGCCCTCTCTCGATTAGAGGTTGAAAAGGAATCCAGACCCTCTTCATGGGCTGCAGCTTCGAGGTCAACTTGAGAGGCGGTAAGTTAGGCTAGCTTGGCTCGCAGACAAACAACCTCAGCAGCCTCTGCCTTTGCCTCCTCTAGCCCAACTCGCTCGGCTATCAGAAATTCTCTAAGCTTTGTCACCTTGGTCCTAACAACTTTTAACCAAGCAAACAAATTGGTGATCGTAGCATCACGATGCTCTAGGTCAGTCTTAAAAGTTGTCACCTCGGCGACAGGGTACTCCTCATATAGCTCTTCACTTAAAATATGAGTAAGCCCAATTAGAGTCTACAAAAGGTTAAGACATAGTGGTGAAATATAAGCTAAATGAAAACATGAAGTAAAAGAGAGCAGAATTACATGAATAGTGTGATTCAGGACGTAGCCAGCCCGAGCAGCTCGGGCGCTCCACCAGCACTAAATTTTCGATGGTGGAAAAATATTCACCAGATAAGTTGTCTTCTCGATTACGTTCTTGGAGGTAGCAAACCTTGTCGACTGCTCCACGCCTCTTTCCCCTTCGAGGTCGTCAGCAGGTTCTTTGCCAGTCTGGCTTCTCTTTCGAGAAGATTCGACCTATCCAAGCTCATCGGACTCTGAAACGATCTGAATCGAAAAAGTGGGGGCTACTGGAGATGTAGCCCTAACCTCACCAATGATCGCCGCCGTGACCTTGGCGGCTTAACTCCATTGTTACCGCCTTCAGTTGTAACTTCAATTATGGTGGGGACGGCGGCCAATTCGTTGGCACACTGAGGCAGAGCTCAACTATGTAGCTTTAAGAATGACGTTTGCAATAAGAAAAGAAAATATTAGCAAAAACACAATGCCGAGACGTAATTAAAGAAGAGTAAACAAAAAGGCTACCCAGGTCGAAATGACGGTGTTGAAAGCCTAAGAGACCGAACGTCGACCTCAGCTGGGCTTTGTTGGTTAAGCGGATTAGGTCAAAGTGAGCCCCAAAGAGTGGTCAACTTGTCATACTGTTGATTCCACCTTGGTTTTTTTGTGTTGGGAAGGTTTTTCATAATGCCATATAGAAGGGAAATAGAGAGCATTGGGTGGAGGTCGAAAAAAGAAGAATTTCGCCTTTAGTGGGGATTTTGGTGGTAGGGTCCTTCAAAAAGGAAACACTATACCTATGGGAAAGGTAAAATAATTGTTCTGGTGGCTTAAGCCAATGGCAGTAAAAGAAAAATATTCGATCAAGCCTCTTCAAGAAGCGATGACTCAAAATCACGAACCCCACCATAAAACGTATAGAGTTTGGGGACAGATGGTTCAAAGGAGCTTGATAGAGTTGGGCTAACTCTATCAGGTCCCTCCTAGGAGGGAATATTAGACTGGCGGCCACTTGGTCCCAAAAAGAAAAGAGTAGTAGCCCTTGGGGGGCTGATTGAAGGTTTCTCCAGCCTTTCGGACCTTGCTCTCCTGAGAAATTGGGTACATTGAACAGAGGAAGAAGACTTCATACATAGTCATGCATACAAAGTTCCATTTCAACACAAGGTCGGAAAGCTCGTACTAGGGGGAAGGCCTAGATGATATAGTACCCTTTAATAAGCTCGGTTATTCGGTCTGATAGAGTAGATCAGCTATTGAC